CCTTTCTGCAGAATAGGCCAAGGGGCCTCCTTAGAATGAGCTAATTGCTATACATACCTCTGTCAGTCTTGACCTAACACAAATGCATGTGCTTTTTGAATGCCTACCTGTGTGTCCATCTTGTCATGGCTTCTTGGGCAGGGGGTGGCTATGAGCAGTCTTCAAGCTGCTAGAGCAAGTCAGAAGCTTTATCAACTGCTTCCAGACGTCAGTGCTTTTGGGAAAGAGGGCAGCAAAGAGTAAGGCACAGGCTAATTGAAGTGGTCTGGGTGGTCAACTTCTTCTTTGAGGTACTTGAAAAGAGTGATTGGTCAAGTAAGTTAAAGTCAAGGAAAATCCTCTCTGAAATCACTGTCCCAACCACTGGTTGTTTTAAATGTCTTTGGCAATAATTTTGAAAATTGTTGATCTTCTAAAAGTTCCAAGTAGCAGCAGCAAGTGGCCAGTTCAGTATTGCCCATAATGACAATGTTGTGGGTCAGGGGGAGAGCAAGTACAGCAGAGGAGTGATGAAGAGGAAAGTTCACTTTTGTGAAGATGCAGTGAACAGGAGGCCATGCTTCTGGGAGTGGAAACATGAGGCTGTGTCCCACGCACCATTTGCTCTGGCAGATCTCCTCCGGTAGCCTTCACTGAAGACAGTACTCCAGCCAGCATGAGAGCAACTTACAATAACATTTCACTTCCCTCATGAGCTACAGCAGCTCCCTCCCTGCCTTTTCTTCTTTTAGCTTCTCTTCATCCATATACCCTAAGATTCATCCACTGGCCACTATGGCCTCTCACAGTCAAAAGCCCTCCTCCCTGTGAGCAGGGCTGTCCTGCTTAGAGGCACACTATGCCGAGACCCCAAGGTAGCTGCTCTGTGAGTCCGCTCCCAACCTACAGCGATGTTGGTGTGGCATTCGCCTCCCCTAGTTAGCTCCTCTGAGGTGAGTTCGTCATTACATCTCCATAATTATTTCCTTCTCTGGTGTGGCAGTAGGGAGGCACAGGCAGCCCCAAACACCATGGGAGGAGTTGTGCATTACCTTCTGCTGCCGTATGCCTGGCGCTTATGAAAAACCTAGAACAGGGAGAGGGAGGGCAGGAAAAAGACCCAAAGGTGTGTTCCTTCAGCACCTCCTGCTTGACATTTGAGCCCTGGTTTTGCGATGGTCAAGTGTCACTGGGGACCAAGTTACAGGGTGAATCAAACTCTATATTTAGGAAGAACAACTGGAAGCTATGACAGGAATTCCCTTTTACACTTCACTTCTCAGCTGAGTCCCACTCCAGGCTGGAGCAGCTCTCAGTGCCGTCCAGGCTGAAAGCATCGGAGCTATTTCAGACACATTAAAAGGATCACAGTCCTCAGCTGGTAGAAGAAGGTACCTCTTTCAGCATCGAAGGGAGGTCCACATATTCACTTGACGGTTTGGAGCTTTTCTTATATAAGTAAATAAGTAAGCTAACCTTGAAGGGGTCAATTAAAAACTTGAAAGACCCTTACAAAAACTCTTTAATAACTGCTGAGAGGTGACTACAATAGTTGTGGGTTTCTGCTTATTTTAGTGTCTTGTGTGGTATTATGAGCATATTCAGAGCAGATTGTTATTGCTTTATAGTCTATGAGGATGTTTAAAGATTTTAAAACGAAAGTCACTTAACTACCTAATGACTCATAAGAAGCATAACTGCATATTAATGCTGTAGTACATAGGTACATGCTTATTGTTTTCTACATGTTTGTTATAAGTGGTGAAATATTACATGGGGGTTTAAATGGTAAGAGAGGGGTTCTGTCACTGTAAACTTAACTGTAGTGGAGACCACCGCATTACAGAAAATGTAACTGCATTTGCCTACAGCATATAGCAAGTTTTTGTGTAACAGGCTAGAAGCTGCAAAGTGGGGATTTCTGTTCTTTCATCGTACTAGCTGGTCTCGCAGTAGTGTAGTTCCTGTCAAAGCCTTTTTTTAAGATAATACACTGCAGCTCTGTGTCCAAAATACCCGTTGTGCTTGACGCCGTGAGTGTGGCAGGGGGAAAGGACAGCTTCCAGCTGGGGCAGGGGGAGGGCTCTTTCTGTTGTCTGTGTGCTACTGTACGTCTCTTGTGCGGATTACAAAAGATGGCATTATGATGTCTCATCGTATTTAAAGCAAATTGAGTAGGTCAGCTTATTATCTTGCAGCAGCCTTGTCAGAAATTATTTTTAGCAGAGGGACAGAAGATAGGTCCTTTGTTTTACAAAGTTTCCTTCCAAATCCCTGATTTATTTCACAGTAGTAGTCCTGTAGTTCACAAGTAGTCCTGTTCATGAGTACTTTCACTGTGAAGCAGGGGAATTTGCAGAGGAAGTCTGGCATAAAACAGCTCCAAACTCAACTAACATTGTGGTTGCTCTCTAAATCTGGCTCAGCATGTAGCCCATACAAGGTAAAAGGCAAGGTGTGGGGAGGCCAGAAAGACACTGGGGAATACAAGCTGCGTGCATCTGCATTTCTCTGGCTGCATACATGTGAAATCCTGCTGTGGAAATGAAGGTGAAGAGTGTTTTTTTCAAGTTTGCAGAGCTGGTTGGAATGCCAGAAATAACATAATACAATCAGTAGAGCACCCTTGACTATCTCTCTGGGACGTGTGGCAAAAGAGTTTATAAAAATGAACTAATCACTTCAGTAATAGATGAATCTGTAATCTAAGCTTTGTTTTCCTGTGTTGATGGTCAGTGTTGCTCTGGAGGGAAACTCAGGGAAGGGAGGGAAAGGGAGACAACCAGAGAAGATTGTCTATTTTTACTCAGTAGTGTGCTGTTGTCCTGATTTCTCTGGCAGTAATGAGGACAGCATGAACTGGAAGGAAAATCACCTCCTCCAAAAGCAGTCCTACACAATTGTATCATGCATCCGTCTTTAGGAACTGGTGTCTGATTGCAATCATTTTGAATGCAGACTTCTTGTGAGCCCAGAGCACCTCACTGAGAAGTACTATCACTGTACTTGTTTTAAAGTTGAGATTCAGCGTAAGTCCTTGCCTGTTTAGCTCTAGTTGGCCCAAGAAATATAACGGAGTTTTTGCACTGCACAGGCACACAAGATGGAAAGTACATCCTAGCATGAATTTCTCTGTGGAAGTGGTTAGAAAGTAGATCTGTGGTGTTTAAAAATGTTTTATGTTAATTTCCTGTGCTTTTGTTTACATTTTTTATCCTGATTAGAAAGAGGAGACGATGATAAGAAAAATTAATTAAACTTTTCTGGTTTATAAGTCCTATCTTCCCAATAAACCAAGGGATTGTTTTGTGTTTATCTTTGGAATACAACCACAGGTTAACAGCACACTTATTTCTACGCATAGGAGAGACTTTCCAAAAGGAAAGAGAGAGGATGCAGTAAATTCTTTTGGCTTTTTGAAATCTGTGCAAATTTTGTCATGAACTTCAGTGGCTGAGATTTCATCCCCCAAAGTGAATTCTGAAGCTTTTAAAACTACCACTGATTTTAAGATTGAAAATGTAAATGTAGAACCACAAGATAAACCTCACTGGGAGCATGCTGGCTTTATATTGCACAGTGGGATCTTTTTCTGATTTATTAATTTAGTGGAAGCAATTTAAACCCAAAGCAACCTGCAAAGTTGATGTCCTGTGACTTAATGCTGTGCTGGTTTGGACAGCACTCTTTACAGCTGAGAGTGCAATCAGAGGGAGACCTCTAATGGCAGGTCATTTTTACTTTTAAGTTCTGCTCAGCATTATAAACAGATTCAAAGCCAATGTGAGAATATGCAAAAGCAAGTCTTCCATGCAGCTCCAGAGATGATAGGCTGATATTTATAATTCAAGCTGATATTCAAAGCTGAAGCCAACCTGCAACTCATCAATACTTTTCTCTGTCATCCACGTGACAGTTATACTCCTTGGAGTACCAAAGCCTTTGACCCACTTTTGATTTCTCTGTATATTTGTACTGTCTCTCCTACATAATTTATTACTTTTTTTTCAGTATTTTCCTCCTCATCTCAGGTTAAATGTAGTAGCAAAAATATGCTGTAGTTTGGTTGTGGTCAGTGAGTTCTCTGGTGAACTTGTTTCTCACTTTTTAGTATTGCTATCTTATTTTGTATTATAATGGTTAAATAACCAGACTTTGATGAAGGTCCAGTCTAGTTAAGATCCTAATTTTCAATGAGAAAATAAAAGGATGAGACAATGTTTCAATTAATAAAATTTCTCACCTTTATTTTTTTGTTACCTTTACAGAGTCCTTTAACTTTGATGTTTTTCCCTTTGTTATGGTATATGAATACTGTATCCGCCCATATTTCTCTACTTGCATAAAATTATATGGAAAGCTCTGTTCTTTTTTATGTTCTTGCTGAAGAAAATTGATGGATCTATATGATCTAAAACTTTGAAGAGAGGCTACTTTGTGCCCTACCAATTGTCAAAGAGAATTTTATATTTTGACCATCTTGATCATTTTCAGTCTATAGACATTAAATGTTTCCAAGGATGTGTGAGTCAGAAAATGGTTATGTTGGTGTTTATCAATGATTTGTACTGCAAGTTAGCTTTATTTGAAAGAAGGTTTAAACTGAGAATTCTAATAATTCCCACATACATACTGTGACAGAGATAATCATACATCATTTATGCTCAAATGCTTCCCATAATTCTTACTCATTTTACAATGCAAGGTTGCATTTTACAAATACAAAGTTTGAGAGATTCCTTATCTCACTCATTATTGTTTTTAATGTGAAAGAGATAGCTCCATTTGTGGCTATGAAAGATTAATTGGAGAAGCTCGGGTGTTCTATCTCCTTCTGATATTCAGAAGGAATATCTAAGCAACTCTGAAACTGAGATGGAAACATGAGCTGGGCAGATGAAATGGATGCCTGTCAAGAGCCAGCATGGGTTAAGTTCTAGCTTATCTCCTTTAGCTATCAGAATGTCAGAGCCTGTAACACTTTCTTATTTTGCTTGCAGGGATAAGCTTCTGTCTTAAAAATGTCAAAACAGCCAGCGTCACATGTCAGAGCCATTCAGGTAAGAGACAGTATTTATGTTTCTAATATAATAAAGTAATAAATCTCAACCTCCATTGCTTGGCAAACAGCATTTTTGCTCAGAGAGAACACTACAGAAGTGCTAACTAGGGATTATTCTTTTAAAGTGAAAAGCTTAGTGGATATGAAAGTGCTGAAAAAGTTTGACCTGAAGAGCATCTTATAATCTGAGCTGTTAAAAACCAGGATCAGATAGGTTGATCGCTTGTTTGCATGGTCTTCAGCGTTAGGTTATGCCTGTTGGTGGATCAGCTAGGCAAAAGATGATGATGCATCTGTATAACTGATCAGCAGCATGAGTAAAACTAATTTTTGCAACTCTCAGGTTTTCCACAGAATTAGTATAATGCTGGAAGAGTTAGAAGCTAAAAAGATGGCGTAGATATTGTGAAGTTTCCCACATCTGCATTCCTTTAGGAAAAAATCCACAACTTCCAATATATATTTAAGCAGCATTTTATTTAAAAGCCAAAGTAAAATGAGAGAAATGTTGATGTTCTCATTTTAAAAATTCTTGTCTGTCACATACCTCCTCAAATGGCATATGCTCATATGGATGAAGTTGGTTGTTACACACTTGTAAAAGAAACAGCTGGAGAATTATCCCAACATCATCACAAAGTAGCATCATGAAGAATGTATTTAGCTCAGGCTATCACTGATAATTGTCAAAACACCAAAATACCTCGTGAACTACAGAATTTTCATGTATTTTGTAAAAATGTAGTGAAATTTTACCTTGAGTTCAGGTTCCTTGAAATTATGCAAGAAACACAAAATTGAATGTCTAAAGTCTGATCCATCCTCTGTTTCTTCAAGATAATACTGACTCAGTGGATTGGAGTATCAAGAAGATGAATTACACAATGGCTAGACAGCACACTGAAATTGCAAGGCACTGTAAAAATGCTACTTTTCTTTATCAACATCAACTCTACTGGAACAGGCATACAAACTACTGTACTCTAATTGGGTTGAAATTATCAGAAGTTTGCCATTGATCTCACTCAGTTCAAATTTTCATCCCTCTTTTAGAGTGACTATGGAAGTGCTTTATGATTACTGAAAAAATGTAAGTAATCAATAGGTCAAAATTATTTACATTTTACATCTAAACTCCATAGGCACATACAAAGATTTTTGTGGAATTAATTTGGTTTACTTTTTTCCTTAAAGTAAAAAGTAGTTATAGACTCCTTTTTATTTTTATGATGACTTTCTGACTTACTAATGTAAAAAAAAAAATGCTTCTAGTTTGTCCATTTAAAAAATAATGCATTAAGTTTAAGCACTAAGTTCAATATTTTAAGAAACTTCCCCCCCCCCCAAGGTAATTTGAATAATGAGAAAAATTGCAGCACAAACTTTAAAATATATGTATTAAACATTGTGTCAAAGGTTGCTCCAGCAGGGAGACTTGCGCTGGGATTGAGGCCTATTACACTTTGAGTACTGTAAGAATCATGACTCAAAACATCACATTACTCATATACAATCTGATTCATATATTATGACCCTTTGCTGTTATGTGCTATTATAGTAGGACCAACATCTCCTGGAGAATATACATCATGCTGAAGTGATGGAAAAGTAATGACGCTTAACCGACTGAAGTATTTCATGGTACTCAATGTCAGAATTGACGTCTTTCTGGCCATATGAGATGTGTGCTAAAATCTTCACTTGCCAAGAGCCACTATATACAGATGTGGGAGAGAGAAGGATAGCAACTGGTTCCCAAGAGCAGTTTGGGGCAATAGAGGACCAAAGTACTGTTAATTCCTGGTAACACTGTTGGCCTCCCCTTCTCAGTGTATAAAAGGCTGTGTACAGCTCTGGCTGAAAATTATTCTACCTCCAAACACTGCTCTTGGCTTTTCCCAGAGGTAGGCATGAGTAGTGTCCTATTTTTATTTTTTCTGAATTACAGTAAGTTTTCTCTCTAGTTCCTATATTATTATTTTTAAAAAATCAAATATTTTTATACTGAAGTGGCTTTCCAGCTTATTCAGTCATCCTTCTGGAGAGCTGTGATGCCATGAAGAATTTATCCGTAACAGTCCTCAACTCATGCATGGGTGTGTAACTTGTATCCTAATCTGGATATCCTGTTTCTACTTCTATTTAACAGAAACAAGAACACAAACAAATCTCTAAATACCAGTTTAATCGAGTCAAACCAACAATGTATGTTGTGTATCATGCTTACGGATATTTTTCTTTAAGTCTATTCAGGAAGACATTAGTAGAGTATATTACCTACTCATTATGAAAACTGCAATGACATCTAAAATATGGTAGGCACTTTCCAAAAAGAAAGACAGATGAAAACCCAATAGTTTTAGTGATTGGTATGATTAAAAATAATAATCACACCTAGAATATCTGTCTAAAGCAATTATAATTTAGGATTTCAGGAGTCTGGAACAAAAACATTCCTGTTTCACTTTTTACTGGATGGAGAGCAAGCAAGGAAGAGCTCACCAAGGCTCATATCTCCATCCTGGCAGATAGGTGACAAAAGCCTTGAGACATATTTTAAAACCAAAATTGCAAACTTGTGCTGACCACAGCACAACACAGTCCTTTCAGAGCTACACTGGCTTACAGGAGTTGATCCACCCATTACACGGCTGCTTGTCTGTGGGAAGGGACCAACACTGGATTAGAAGGAGATTTACAGCTCAGGACTTTGGTACCTCTGGTCAGGAGCTGTTTGGAAGTCAGTCATACTTTCATTTCATACTAGAAATATTTTAATTTATAGTATGTGTTATCAGACCCAGACAGAGTTGAACTAATTGCTAAAGGCTGCTTGTTTAACCAACTTAATATTTCATGTCACATCTTGTCCAAACTCTGATGTGAATGCACTTATTGCAGATAAAATAGTACATACTGCTTCCCTGTGACAGAGATTACTGTGAAAATGCTGAAGCAGACCAAAGAGCAGTTTATTTAATTTAATTAGCAGTCTGGCACTTAGTGGTTTGGTTTTTTTATTTCCTGAAGCATTTTTAGTCACAGTTGGTCTGTCAATAATAGTAGGAAATACAAGGGCTGGGTGTCAGAATTACTATGCTGTGGTATGCCCTGGGTGGCCATGGGAGGCAGGCTTCTGCTTTGATTGACTCCAAGGGGAAGGAATGCCTGAGTTCAAAATGCGCACCAAGAGAGAGCTCTTAATGTTTCACCTCTGTGAGCTTGTATGCCTACACTAGCTGTAAAGTGCAGAGAAGTTTCATTTCCAAAAAAAGAACCTGCCTAGAGGTAACAGAGCCTGATGGGGGAGATGCTTAAAATTAAAAATAGCAAAGCTGTTTTTTTCCACGCATAAATGAAATAATGGGTTAAGTACTGTGAGGCAGAAAATGCCTTGTCTCTGAGGAACTTAAGAAGTGCAGATGAAAGGTTTCACAATATATAAACTAAAGCTCAGTAAAAAAGCCTTATGAAATGAATACCCAGTTGTCTATAAACTGTGTGGCCCTACAGACATTTGCCATCCCCACTGAAATGGCAGCATCACCTTCCATAAATAAAATAACGGTAAACAGCTAAGCAGAATACAGGGAAAGGTGATTATTTCTTGGCAAACTGATTCTTAAATTCCTTGATATTTGATTTAAACTGTCAGAACAGTTGTTACTGAAAATAGTGGGCTGTTTTCCTGTGGCTGCCCAACCTGGGGCGCAATCTGCAGGACTACGATTTGAGCAGAAGGATGGGATTATTCATCTTTATTTAATGCAAATCAGTCAGATGGTAAACTACAATAAAACAGCTCGCTGTTGGAAGGTTCTCCATAACATTACCAATTCAACCCCTGGTTTTACCAGTGGGAGTCATGATATTTTGATGACATTTCCTAGGACCAGCTTCTCTTCTGAGATCACAAGATAAGAATAGGTATAAATTTTGCATTTAGTTGTTCACACCATTTGACTTTTAAAACAAGCCAGTCTGGGTCACATCGGGAAATAGATACACTTTAGCTGCACTTTCCTAAGCAATGTTTTCTTCCATTCTTTTCCCCAAGATCTTTACTTTTAAGGTATCTATTACCAGCCCCATTTATGTTATGGCTACTGGCTTTCTGCTACAGATAAAAGATCAGATTGAGGCAGTCATGTGGGTACTATTCTGGAGGGAGTTTGCTAAAGCTGGGGCTGGTGGTCTATCCAGTGTTAGAGCTGGCTCAGCCTGCTCTGACCCGTGAGCCCCTGCTGCGACCCGTGAGCCCCTGCTGCAGGCCAGGCTGGGGTGGCTCAGTGAAACCCAGTGGGGACTGGAGGGTCAAAAAGCCTTTCTGCTCTTTCCCACAGATCCTCTTTGCAACCAAGAGGCACAGTTGTAGGACTAAGGCATTACGTTTGCAGCACCTGTGGGTAAATTTTGTCGGTAAAGATAACATTTTAAACACTGTGGCTTAGGTTGGCTCAGGGCAGGCTTTCCTTCCTGACAAACTGGGATTAAATGAGGTGACAACTGGTGTCCCTGGGGGAGGGAGAGTGGTCCAGTGGTTGGGGTGTTATTGTAGGATTTGGGTCATATACACTTAAATGCTGATTCTGGCACTCCCTTTCTGTTTGACCTTGACCAAATTGAAGACCCAGAGGTCTAAAGACACTTTGGTGTCTAGCAGTCATTTGTCTCAAGTCCAATGAAATCAGGGAGCATTAGAATAAAATGCAGAACTTCAAAAGCTTACTAGATAGCTTTGTCTTTTTCACTTTCCATCTTTAAAATGGAGATAAAAGCCCTTCCCTTTCCCACAGGAGTGTGTGATGATGCATACAATGAAGGCATTAAGTGGTTGGAAACCATGATAATGTCCCTACGCTTGTCCCACCCTTTTTGAGTTTTGCCTTTTACCAACCGTATGTTTATTTATCAGTCACTATTATATGCATCATAATTTCCTTCTCACAGGCTAATATTAACATCCCAATGGGAGCATTTCGACCTGGTGCAGGCCACCCTCATAAAAGAAAAGAACTTGCACCTGAAGAAGTGGAGGAGGTAAGAAAAAAGGGGGGGTTGATTTTTTTTCCCCCAGAAGAATCCCTGCCACTGATGGAAGACAGACTTTTAATCAATCTTATAGCACTGCATACCAATCTTAGGTACCACAGCTGAACATGCACTGGTCATTCATGGAAATAAATTGCCACCTACTAAACACTTCATCCATACATAGTTCTGGTTTTGATGCCAAGGCATCTACAGGAATTTAAAATATTTCCAAGGCATGTAGCTCTGCTTCAACAGCAGGATATCTGCTGTCAGGAAAGAGAGCCAGGATTTCGCCAGCACTATTTATCTAGATGGGAGTTGATGGATACAGCAGGAAAAGTTATAGCAAGGCTTTGGAAGAATATGCTGCTACCTGTTGCCCAATGGTGTGATTTATTCTTACAGCTTAACATTATTGAAACAGGTTTTCAAGCCTGACGCTTTTTGGAATATTTATCAACAAGGACAAATTGAATGTGAAGACACTTGCAAATTAAAACCAGAAATTGTGAACCCATTTACCTGCATAGGGGTGAAAATACTCAATTTTGTATTGAATTCTGTGTTTTCATGCTTATGTTTTACAGGGAGTATCTAACACTGAGTTTTGAATAAAAAGTCCAATTTATACCTTAACCAACATTGATCACAAAGGTTATGATTAATCACAAATATCATATTTCTGGATGATATTAAAGCATCTTATTTACCAAGAACTTTTATAGTAAATAAAAAATAAAACCAATGGTGGAGCAAAAAGTAGTGTTAGATACTCCAAACCAAAATAAAAACAAACAACTCAAGTAAAGATGGGTGCTTATGACTTCCTGGCCAGTTGGCTTAGTTTGAATATATAATCACCAGCCAAGAACTGGTACTGCTGGGCTGATGCTCCTCAGAGCCAAGGGCAGGGAAGTCTCGAAGCAACCTCATGCAGCTGCGCTGCCTCTGTCAGGACTCAGATGGACTTGCTGGCGTATGGGCTAAGCAAAGCTGTCGTGGCTGGAGGGAGTTTTGCCCTCATGCAGAGCAGAGCCGTGATGATCAGAAGGGAGTGGGTAGCCACTTTTCTCCAGGCATGCAATGGGGCTGGAGGTGATTCAACCCCAAACAAGAAGCAGCCAGATTAGTTTTGGACAAATCAACAGCTCCTTCTGAGCTGGTACAGGCACTTAAAATGGTCAGGTTCAGTTGTATAAGAGCTAATTCTTTTCTGTCTAAATCAGACAGACTTTTTTCTGAATTTCAATATAGCGCTCTGTTTACAGAGAACTTTCCTGAAGAACTCAAACCCAGGATGACTTAAGTCTTCTTAAGAAGATGTTAAAAAAACAAACTCAAACATACAAAGCGACCTTGAATGCATATTGTGGCTTTCTGCCCTGGAAAGAAATCAAAGCATATTCTCTCTGCAGTAATTAAACTAGTGAAGGAATGCATGTTATTAAGCAGAAACTAATATGGCATGTGTGAATTCTAGTAGAGTTTGAGAAATAAAATAAATGAACAGTGCTGATAATTAGATTTGGTTGGGTAATTGAATATTGCTTTGCTTCTCAGTTATGTGAATACTATATGTGAGACAGACATTATAGAATGAAAGTTCTTGGCCCCAGTTTTATAGCCAATATGCAACCAAAACAATGGGGGTAAAGACTACAGAAAAGATCTTGTAACAGGAATAGAATTAAAATGCTACCAGTAGACTTGTCTTTTCTATTTTCCCATCTTGTTAAGTTTTGCAATACAGCTTGTGATTCTTTAGAGCAGCTTTATACAAATGCAACATTTGCTTACAGTGCTTAGCATTTTTTCAATCTATTTTAAAACCTTGGCAAAGGACATGAGGGAAATACAGGTCATACCCAAAAAGATGGTGGAGTCAGATGGGAATGTATATTTTTGAAGGTCAAGGGAGTGGACATGGTAACATGAAAAGAATGGGGGGTGGGAATTTCAGAAAACAACTCTTCCGCAGTCAGAGAATTTCCATGAATGTATTTGTTAACTTTTGTCATATATCTCTTCAGACTTCTTTCAATAAAACTGAAAGCCAAGGTCTGATCTTAGCTAAGCATTCCACATGGAGTGGGTGATATAGGGAGGGGCGCAGTCGTAAATAGCACACACATGAGATTAGAAGGGAAAGCTAACATCCATTTACGGAGTGCAGGGTCTACAAAACACCATCAAAGTTTGCACCATTTACACTATGAGAGGAATGGTATTGAAGATGACTTGAAATTGTATTTTTAAATAATATCTGCTGTTTACTAATAAGAACTAAGTGGATGGGGGCATGGTAGTTTTCACTGATTATTCAGATCAGCTAGCTGTGCAAGAAAACTATCAAAGAAAACAATACAAGCCCATGGCATCTTTGACTACTGATACAATTTTGTGCATCCCCCCAAACACCTTCTGTATCAATTTACTTACTCTCCTGCTGTGCTTTGCTACTCTTTCAGGATGTTAGATCATTAAGCCAGCTATTAGACAGTATGTATAGTAGCTGGGGCTGAATTACTGGCTGAGATTTTAAATGAACTAAAAGAAACAATAGTATAATGTCATTAATTAGGTCTGTTGTCATCCAGAGGGACCTTGACAAGCTTGGGAGTTGCACCTGTGCAAACCTCATGAAGTTCAACAAAGTGCAAGGTCCCACACATGCATTGGGGCAATCCAAGAATAAATGCAGGCTGGGTGGAGAATGAACTGAGAGCAGCCCTGTGAAGAAGGACTTGGGGGTTTTTGTTGATGAGAAGCTCAACATGAGCCAGCTTCAGCGTGTGCTCGCAGCCCAGAAAGCCTGGTCTGCTTCCTGATTAGCCTGTAGTACATTAGTCAGCAGAAAAAAAGAGGGGTTTACTGGCCAAAAGTATTTGACAGGTAACTTTGGAATTTAAAAAATGAACTAAAATATTAATAATTGATTGTTCACAGTCAATACATGTTAGCAAAAAAGATGGCTAATTAATTTTAATACTGAATTAGATCCAAAATGTCCATTCCAAGAGGACATTCGCAGAGTAATCGAAAAAGAAAAAAATAATCTTGTTGAATTAGTTGCAGTACAATATTAATTCACCCACAAACCTACATGATTCCCCTTGTATGCCAGCTTTATAAAATACAGAACAGGCTGGAACGACCTTAAACTCCATACTGGAAAACTACTTCAAAACATTGCTCAGTCTAGAATAGAAATTGTCTAAAATACATGCTCTCCTTCACCTAAGAGCAATAGTAGAACCAAGGAAGTACCAAGAGCTGAAACACTATTGTCTGTTGGCAATTACCTGAGATGTTTGTTATTGTGTAAGTAAGTGCTGCTATTTACCTTGTATTTTTAGTGTCAGCAAAACATTTATCAGGCACTACCTTAATTCAAACATAAAATAACAATAACCTTTCTGGTCTTGCAGCTGAGGGTAAGAAAAATTAAACATCAACTCAAGATGAGCTTGGGTGGAGCTTTTGGTGTTCATAACCTATTATCATAGTTCTTCTCCAGAGCTGCACAAGTGTTTGATGGTTTTCCTCCCCAACTGTCTGGCTGCTATAAGACTCTGAAAGAAATCAGATTATAAAAAAGGTTCTTCTGCTTTCTATCCCTAAAATATGAAGTACCTGGGAGTTGCCTTTAGTGCTCCACCTAGTTAATGTTCTGCTAATGGTCTGACACTGTAAATTCTTACTCATTTACCAAAGGATCCACATTGCTCTGCACTGAGCAACTTTTAGGTGGTTATTTTTCCAAATGTTTTTAGACATTTTAGAAAACAATCAACAAAATAACTTGTCTTTTCCTGCCTCCCTTCTTCCCAACCCCCACCCCGCTTCCAATTTCCATTGGGATTGCATTTAGTATAAAAACATCCTTTCCTGTTTATCACATAACTGACCAGTCCTCATGCTCAAGAGATTGCTATAGTAGCAGTCAGGTCACTGGTATCCTTTTGTGCAGAGTGTTCCTGCTTCGACAGAGGAGGAGAAAGACAAGAAACATCTCCCAGGAGCAAAGAAACTTCCAGGTCCTGCTGTCAACTTGTCAGAGATTCAGAACATAAAGAGTGAGCTGAAATTTGTCCCCAAAGCTGAACAGTAGCTGGAACAAGCAGGTGAGTAAAAGAGAAGTTCTGTGCATGGAGAAGCAGGCTGATCCAGAAACCTCTTGGTATCAAAAGATGTCTTTCCAATTACTTCAGAGAACCCAGAGTCACACCCTATATCTCAAAGACAACGTACCAGAAGAAAAGGTTATAATCTCTGGAATTCTCTGTTACTTCAAACATGGAGCATATAGGAGACTATATGTGATGATACATCAACCAGCCTATCAAAAAGTTCATTCAGCTATTAGGAATACTGAAACCAGCTTAAAAATACTAGCTTCTTGCTTCACAAGTGCGAGTTTCAGTTTTACAGAATGCAAGACTTGTATTTGTACACTTTAACTACAAATAAATGTTTTACAATGCAAATAAATTTGTTGCACTGATGGACAACTAGGTCAGTATTTTTAAAAAGCTCCTTTGGAACAGACATTTGATACTGTTTTATTTCTGTAATTCAAAACTGACATGCTAATGGCTCCATGTATTTGATCATACAGATACACTCAATGCCACTTGTGGCACCCAAGGATTAGCTACATGTCTATGTGGGGCTCAGAAGTATAATACAGGACCCTGGGGAGATCTGTGCTCCTCTAGAGTAGCAGCCGGGGAGCAGGCAGGGACCCTCAGGCACTGCTGACAGCAACACACATCTATGAGTTGAGCCACTGGTCTATGACTAGCACCATAGCTCATAGTTCATCTTATTTTGCTCAGTGTCCAAACGGAGATCAGTGGCGAGTGGTGTCCCTCAGGGGTCTGTACTGGGACCAGTACTGTTTAATATCTTCATCAATGACAGACAGTGGGATTGAATGCACCCTCAGCAAGTTTGCAGATGATATCAAGGGCGGTGTCACCATTGGTGTGGTTGACAAAACCACCGATGCAATTGATACACCTAAGGGAAGGGATGCCATTCAGAGGGACCTGGACAAGCTCAAGAAGTGGGTCCATGTGAACCTCATGAGGTTCAACATAGCCAAGTGCAAGGTCCTGCACATGGTTCGGGGCAACCTCCCTGTATCAATACAGGCTGAGGGATGAAGGGATTGAAAACAGCCCTATGGAGAAGGACCTGGGGTACTGTTGGATGCAAAGCTGTACACAAGCCGGCAATGTGTACTCACAGCCCAGAAAGTCAACTGTATCCTGGGCTGCATCAAAAGAAGCGTGACCAGCAGGTTAAGGGAGGTGATTCTTCCCCTCTACTCTGGTGTTAGGCCCCAGCTGCGTTCAGCTCTGGGGCCCCCAACACAAGAGGGATGTGGACCTGTTGGAGCAAGTCCAGAGGAGGGCCATGAAGATGATCCAAGGGTTGAAGCACTTCTCACATGAAGACAAGGTGGGAGAGTTGAGCTTGTTCAGCCTGGAGAAATGAAGGCTTCATGGACACCTCATAGCAGCCTTCCAGTACCTAAAGGGGGCTTATAAAAAAGATGGGTACAGACTTTTTAGTAAGTCCTGTAGCAATAGGACAAGGATTAATGGTTTTAAATTAAATGAGAGTAGATTTAGACTAGGTAGATTTAGCCTAGATACAATGACGAAACTTTTTACAGTGAAAGTCATGAAACACTGGAACATGTTGCCCGAAGAGGTGTTTCCCATCCCTGAAAACATTCAAAGTCACTCTGGGGTCTCTGAGCAGTCTGATCTAGTTGAAGATGTCTCTGCTTATTGCAGGGAGGGTGGACTAGATGACCTTTAAAGGTTCCTTCCAACCAAACCACTCTATGATTCTACGATTATTTTGTTTAAAAGGAAATATTCAGCACTTCAATGGAGATTTCAGAATAATTTCCATCTGATTTCAAACAAGGACCATAAAACTATGTTGCTTGACATTCTGAGCCTTAAAGAAATTAATGATCATTTCTGTCCATGAAATTATCCTCTGATTTTCTTTGAAAAGCATGAGTCAGTAAAGATGCATCAGGCAGTTACAATGACAATTCAGATGTACAAAGAAGTTTCAATAAAGAAAAAAACCTGGCTACAATAAGAAGATAGTTGTGTCATATGCTAGTCACTTGAATTGCCAATTCTGCCTATTGACACAAGTACTTTTTATTGTGAGAAGAGGCAGAGGAGCTAGGCTGAGCAGAACGTCACCTGGAATTTACTGCACAGAAACGTAAATGAAGAACAAAAGAAAACAGAAAGCAGTGCAAAAGATTTCTTGGAACACAAAAGTGCTATGGACCAGCAATGCTGAAAGAAATAGCATGTAATCTGAGTGAATTGCGCCAATACACACTGCAACATTTACTTATTTGTTATGTACAGTATAAATATGCCATTTAGAAGGAAAAAGTGCTTCATTTTTTCTTGCTTTTACCCTGCTGTGTCATAATGTTCCTGTTATTTTAAAGAAACAGTGCAGTCTTTCTCTCCAGAAAACTTGGGAAATGGAAAATTAACATTTGTAAAATACAACACTGTAGTCATTGCACTAAAGCAGTGCCCAAAGAAATATGAATTTTTAATGTGGGGCTTCAAAGAGGTTTCTCTCTGTAAGAGATATTTAGACATAAATTTAACCCCATATTTGTTCTCTGATGATGGCTATTTAAAGTTTAAATAAGGTTTTTAATAATTACCATACTGAGAGTCTGACAGAAACATTTAGGGTGTGCACAGAGGCTCACTCTGAAGAAAAGATTTCTACAGAAAGGTTGGCAAAGTAAAGGGCATCTTGAAAGCTGTGAGGTCATTATGAAGTCATTTCTGTCTCCATCCTTCTTTTGATTTTGTATTGGTTTTCAGGTTCTGACAGTGAAACAATCTCAATTTTTGGTGGTACAGTCAGAGATCATACCTGAAAACTTAGTTTCTAGAAGATTTACAGGCATAGCACTCACTTGAGACTAGGAGTTTGGCTTTGGTTGCAGTGTAAGTACTAAGTATGTACATAAATTCTACAAAAAAATAGATGTAAATCAATCACTTGCCACATCCACAGCCTCAAGTGGTACTTACTCTGAAGATCTTGCCCGATAGAAGACATTCATCAGTTCAGTTGTTCTAGGCATGACCTGCAGCCTTGTATGAAATCTCATTTAGTCAGTGAATTGTTTTATGACTGACCATGCTAAGCCAGTGGAGATTGGACAGAGCCTTGGGCGACATGGTTTAGTGTGTGGTGTCCCTGCTCATGGCAGGGGGGTTGGAACTAGATGATCTTTAGGTCCTTTCCAACCCAAACCATTCTATGATTCTCTCTCCAAGACGGGGTTACTAATCACCATTTGGATGTGATGCTTTCTGAAGAATGGTTAGCTGACTGGTCAATCAAGCACATGCTCGATAAATGAGGGTGTTCTTTAGTTTTCACAGTTTGGAAATTAATTCTGTCTCACATCAGTACAATAAACTTCTCAGATACTCACTGTTGAGGGATTTCCCTTTGATAGTATTTTTATATTTCTGGTGGTATTCCGTAGGCAAAACCCAGTATTGATATTTTTCATTGGATTTTTTCAGTAAATTGAAGTCAAAATGGTCAATTTTGTTTTAATTTTAATCCATGTTATTTTGCTTGGCATTACAAAGTACAAACCCATTAGCAAAAATAAGGAGCCTGCAAAACAGTAGGTTAGGTCATTAATTACAAACCCATTCCCACGTAATTTGCACTTTAGAGTAACTTCTGTTAAATATCATTGGTCTTGCTCTTTCACCAAATTAGGAAACATGAACAGACCTTCTAAGATTGTAGTTGTGAGTCTAATGGTTTGTGGGAGGGATATAATTAGTAAGATTTCATGAAGCTGGATCCACTGAAGGTCATAAAGTGCTTATCAGTTAAGATATTCCTGTACACCTCCTGCTGCTGGTTTATCATCTATAATTAATTAGTATGCTCTTCTTTGTCATAAAGATATTTTTTTTCTTCCACAGAGCTGTAGTTAATGTGCTTGATGCAGCTAGTTTTAATACACAATGTGAGTTGTGATTCATTTTCTTTTTCTCCATCTACATTTTCTTTTGCTGCTACTTTTGCATATGCACATGAGCAAAACATATGCAAAATAAAATAGTAACAAAATAGCATACACTAATCAGCTAAATATATGTCCTATTGAATAAGTAATAGTAGGAAGCATTTAATTTGTGACAAATGGAGTTCACTATGGCTGTTTACTCCTGATTGTTGTGATAGCTTATGTGATAACTAGTATGGTGATTGTACCTGAAAATGGGCCTGAGCACAAACTGGCATTTCACCTGACAATATGTATAATTGCAGCCAGTTACTGCTGCAACTCATGTTCATTCTGTACCCTTTCTCATTTTGTGTCCTGAAGCGTGGGGATTGTGTAACAAGACATGTTGTGAGCTCTTGAAACAGCCCCACTGTTTTAAGAAAATATGTACATTTGCTTAAGCCCAAGTAGCCAGCCCTTGCGTGAGAGAAGGGAATCCTGCATGCAAAGGATGCCAAGGGAGGTCAGGAGCTCAGATCTCTTTAGCTGGAGCAGGAACAATGAGGTGAAGAAGGAGGATGTGCTGCAGGAATTTCTACAGAACCCTTCTGGCCAAAGTCAGAGGAGGCTTGGGGGGATCTCGTCAATGTATAGAAGTACCTGAAGGGAGGGTGCAAAAAGGGCAGAGCCAGGCTTCCCTCAGTGGTGCCCAGTGACAGGCCATCCCCAGCTCCACTCACTGTTTGGTCTGTGTTAATTTCAAAGTACTTGTGTTTTCCTGTCCTTGGTTTCCTACCATCCTGCTGTCTTTGGTTCAGAACTCCCAGATTAGCAGCACTTGGGGATTTCATAGCCAGCCATCAATCTTGCCAGTCACTTCTGCTTCTGTCCTAAGAAACTAGGTAGTTGAGGGGTTTAGGATTTTTTAACAGTGTGTTTAAAAGTTTTTTGGTTTACCTTCCAGGTTTTTTGAGTCTACTTATGTCATGCTTTCAGACTTTAAAACAGAAGAGCTAGAAATTTCTTTTCATAAGAGAAAACTGGAATCTCCAGGACACAAT